CAAGTGCAAGGTCCTGAGTTCAATCCCTGGTACCAAAAAAAAAAAGTACAGAACCAAGAACACAATTCTGTTCCACTTAATAGGCTGAATAATTTCCATGTTATTCTGTGTTCCTAGGGACTGAACCCAGGGCCTCCAGCAGAGCTAAGCTCTCCACCACTGAGCTACATAACCCAGCAGTTTTACTTTCAGAGAGGTTCTTGCTAGGCTAGCCAGGCTAGTAGCAAAAATTCGATCCTCCCACTTGCCCCTCCCTGTACCCAGGACTCTTACACTGACCACATCATCAGTCCCCGCCTCCTAGGACACCGTTTGGCAAAGGCACACAGGTGCCCAGTCTGGGCAGAGACGCGTGAGCCCGACTCAGCCTGCAGATGCTTCGTATCTGTAGAAAGTCTCATAAAAATGTTTAAAGGACATGCAAAAGGTGATGCTTCAATGGTTACTTTTTAATAGAGACTCCAGGATCCGCCCACCTTTGTTTTGTTTTCGGTAAGGGGGACTGAACTTGGGTCCTTGCACTTTCAAGGCAGGCAGCGGAACTGCTGAGCTAAATCCGCGGCCCCTTCACCCACTTTTGATAAACAACAAGGTCAGGAAAATCGAAACTGCGCTTGACTTCTGCCTCCAAATATAATACAAGTGCACATGGATACAGCAATGTAAAAAGATTCCGGGTGGATGGTTTTGTTTTTCCCAGGGTGAAGATTACATGGAGAGATTAAACAGGAATACAGTATTCAGATCTTGTTGATGACCTACTGCTCCAATAAAGTTGTAACCTTTTAATAATTAGAAAAACAGGGCCAGGGGATTTAGATCAGTGGTTCTGCTGCCTGCCTCACAAGTGCAACGTCCCGAGTTCAATTCCTGATAGCAACAACAAAAGTAAGAAATACAAAAACTACTAAAGTTATCATTTTTTTCATCTGTTTTCTATACTCAGGATGGAAAGAAAAAAAATCTTATAATAATAACAACATAGTAATAATTAGACCTTCAAGTTCAGGTGTTTTCCACTTATATGATTTGAGGAGAATAACATTATTTCAGAGATAGTAAACAGTAGTTACCAGGGCAGGTGGGAGAAGACAAGAATTTGTTTAATAGGTACAGACAGCAACCTGAGGTGATGATTAAAAAAGTTCTGCACATGCACTTGCTTCGGCAGCACATATGCTAATGAAGTTCTGCACACGGCTGCACATGATGTGTATGTTCTTAGAACTAGCTATGTTCGGTGTACACACCTGTAATCCCAGTACTCTGGGAGGCTGAGGCAGTTAAGATCACAAGTTCAAGCCTAGCCTGGGCAACTTGGAGAGGCCCTTTCTCAAAACTAAACCATTTTTTGGCTGAGGACACACTTTAGTGGTAAAATGCTTGCCTAGCATATACAAGGCCCTATGTTCAATCCCTAGCACTACAAAAACAAACAAAAAACACTAAAATTGTTAAAAAGAAGCCAGGCATAGTGACACACACTTATAATCCCAGCACTCGGGAGGCTGAGGCAGGAGGACTACCGTGAGTTCAAGGCCAACCTGGGCTACATACTGAGTACAAGGCCAGTTTGAACTACACAGTGAGACTCTGTCTCAAAAAACTAAAAAGAATTCTTTTAAAAGGGCAAAGGATGTAGCTCAATGTGAAGGATCGATGCTCAATCTCTAGTACTAGGGAAAAAAACCTTTGTAAAAGCTGTCTTCAAAGAAGGAATCTCAAAACAATTAAAAAAATTACCAATGCTCCTCCAACCACAACTATTTAAAACACAACCTCAAAGGGCTGGGGATTTAGCTTAGTGGTCCCACTGCTTGCCTCGCAAGTCCAAGGTCCCGAGTTCGATCCCTAGTCCAAAAAATAAAAAATAAAATAAAACAAAACAGTAAAACACTACCTCAAAGAACAGAATCAGATCAAGATTTCTTGTGTCTTTTATAGTACCAGGTATCAAATTTTCACTCATTTTTTAGTGTTCAGAAAATACAGCCTACGGAGCGGGGATTTAACTCAGTGGTGCCGCCGCCAGCCTCCCAAGCACAGGGACCCCAGTTCGATCCCTGGTGCCAAAAAAGAAAGAAAATACAGCCTATCTAGGCAGGCATGGTGGTGGAAGCCTATAAACCTAGAACTCAGGAGGGTGAGGCAAGAGGATCAGAGTCTGAGACCAGCTGGGGCTACATAGTGAGTTCAAGGCCAGCCTGAACTATGTACATGCAAGACCTGGTCTCAAAAAAATTCACTAGATATAGCCTAACTACCAGTGATGGGTACACAGAAAAAATTGGCGTGCACACTTTTTACATTTCTTTGAATCTTTATATTAACACAGTATAGCAATTACCACCCTCTAAAAGATCAGGACTCTTTTCTCTGACCGAAAAGCATGTCTTCAAATTAGCTAGGGAGTCTTTTTTGGTTTTTTTTTTTTTTTTTTTTTTTTTTT